GGTCCCCTCTGAGTTCTATAAGACAGGGGCTGATCTTGGGTTTCTAAAAAGGATGGGCGAAGAGGGCATTGCCGCTCCGCGAGTGTGAGTAGCGGTAACACGCTGAGTTGCTGATTCTCGACGGTATTCGAACTTAGCCTGACCGGCGTCCCTGTGTGCAGAGCATGCAAACTGAGCGTTGGCCCTGGCTATTGAGGGGAAAAGGAGGCTTTGGCCTGGGTGGTGTGCTTCCCGGCGAGCGTCACTGTGTTAGTGACTTGGCACTGCGTTGAGGCCATTGTGTACGGTCTAGCCATGGCGCTGCATGGCTATAGGCCTGGGTACTGGTATCACCAGGCCCGTTGGAAGCCCGTGTCCGGGGAAGGGCCCTGGATCACCGTTATACTCAACTACGATGGTGGAGATGAAGTGCTACTGAAGATCAACGTGGAGGGAGCAAAAGAGGTGGAGATGCGGACCGATGGAAAGCTGCAAGACGCGATTACAGAGGCAAGAGATCGAGCGGAGAGACGCTGTAGGAGGGACGGTGTGACGGCGAGACTACGGATAACAGTGACTTACCAAGAGACAGAAACTTCGATGGACACGGCGGACCTAGAGCAGGCCCACCAGGACAGGGACTCAGGTGGGGAGAGTGAGATGAGTGGAGCAGAAGATCGGGAAACGGACCTCAGGTCCTGGAACAGACCAGGCGAGATCCAGAGGCATCACCGAGCTGTGAAACCGGTGGAAGAGGGGCCCGAGGCCAGCTCCCGACAACTGACGCCCAGAGGCCACGGGGCTGGTGAGAAACAGAACAAGGGGAAGAGACACATGTGAGGGGGAGCGAGTCGGTCGACACGTGGCAATCTAAGAGCAAGGGTAAGTCAACGAAAGAAAAAGACCACGCGGATGAGTAAAAAAACGATCAGGCGAGGTGCAGTTGATGTCAACCACGGTCTCTCGGTTCACTCGCGATCGTTCTGTGTCTGCTGGGTCACAGTGAGTCTTCATGCTGAGACAGGAGACACGTGTGCAAGAAGGAAGGCACGTCTTAGAGGGCGGTCTGTGAAGAGAGAGACAGGGTGAGCGAAACGTGATAAGAGCCCGCGGTGTGCGACTGACGTCAACCACTGTTCTCATGCACGCGCGGCGTTCTTGCATCAGCTGTAGTAGTGAGAAGGAGAGAAAGAAGAAGTTCGGCAAGAACTGAAAAGCAGTGGCTATCGAAGGAGAAGAGCGAGACAGAAGGCGGATCCAATACAGTTGACGCCAGTGGCTACCTATGTGCTTGTGTGATGCGAGAACCTGTGAGAGGGCGGGGAGTAAAGACGTGAGTGCGGTGGGGACGCTCGTTGTTAGTGTCTACACACAGACTGAACAGAACCAAGGATGAGGGCTGGAGAATAGATGATGATTTAAAAGTCGCAAGCTAAGGCCTTACAGGACAAGTATATATATATATATATATATATATATATATAGATATATATTTGTTGTTGTTGACCACTGACAGTAACTGCTTCTGCATAACTGGTAGCCTTCCTTTATCTTCACTAGGATCGAAGTACAATAAGCGAGGTCACCCTTTAAATGAATACTTCAAAAAGCGGTAGAAAGGGGGCTGACAGTTTTAGCTAAATAGGTAAGAGAGTCACACGGCTCGTGACAGACGCGCACTCTTCTAATGGTTTGTGTTGTCTAGTCTTGTCATTCACGTCTGCCGTTAAGGCGAGATTGGAAGAGCGAAGGGGGATGTGAGCGATGTGGGTAAGGTCTGTGTCTCGTTATTGCATGACAAGAGGGAAGTCATATATATGATGATGGGCGAAGACTGATGAATTACACAAGGCCGTAAGAGGCTGTTGCATGCTGAGAGGAGAAAAGAAGAAACGCGCGACTCCTGTTGCAGTTGATATCAACTCAAGATAAGCGAGAGTCTTGGGCCGTATACGTAGAGGTGAGATTTGAACGACTGAGTTGATAATCGATACAAGATGAGCGAGTCAGAGACTGGCACGAGCCAGGGGTGACAGAGACACCATCCGTCTCGGGTCACATGAGCTCGGGTTGGAAAGGTGGCTTACAAAAGCCAAGAGAGTCCGGCAACTGCAGTGCGTGTTCTGGTTCTACATTCAAGAAAATCGAAACATGCTCGATCGATTTTATGACCTAGTGGTATACCAGGGTCCGGCGCGCCCTCCCCGTGAGAAGGGATTTATCACAGTTCAGGGCGTTCCCAGATGATTAGCTAGCAAGAGAGAAGAGGGGGGCAAAGACGAACGAACCTGCGTTACGAGATTAATACTCTTTTGTATTGCCCGAAGTTATCTGCACTGCGGGTAGCGATTCTTGTGCAAGTGATAGATCAGTTTGAACTAGCTATTTTAGGTGGGGAGGAGCCCTATAGGTTCTTATCTCATCTTTGTCTCTTCTAAGCGTGTCTGGACGAGCTCCGGACAAATGTCCTGATTGCCATTGTTGTTAGGCCTACTAAAGAAAAGCTGAAACAGTGAGATCGATGGAGAGGTCAGCGGTTCGAAGAATGTTCGTTAGCCCTGTGGCAACTTCTTGAAAATGATCGGATCGTACAATCTTCCGTGCACTGCCAATCCCGCCTTTTTCACTAACTTTGATTCTGCAGTTATTTCACTGATCAACTGAGAATTACCCCTGAGTAAAGCAGAGGGTACGGGAATCACAGTCACTATGGACAGCGTGAGCTGGTGTATCTAACTTGGCCTGGTGGATCTTATACATGTCAGACAAGCAAACATGGTAAATCTACGAGTGCAAATCACTGATTGGAGATAAATGGTTGGCTGGCAGCGACTCAAAACAAGAAAAGCTCATGGTCAATCCAATCAGATAAGAGGGACACTCTTTTACCCCTTTCAATTTTGTTTATTTAATTCATTTACCATTTCATGGGGTCCGCAATTTTGTCCAGGCGAAAGTTCCAACAGTGATTTTGATCATTCAGGAGAGTGGTTTATCTGTTTATACTGGTCCATCACGCCTTAAATGAACCAATGGTGAGTAATAAAGGTTGTGATCCGAATGTGTTCTTTGATGGGCAAGAAGCAACGTATTTTAAGGGAAATTGTGTATTTATTGGCCAAATTCTATATGGACGGTGACTAGTGATTGCTCGTAAGCTGCTCTTAATCCCACGTCTCAGGCCTGTTAGGTGACTCGTGACAGGTTGATTGAGCGGTCGTGCTCCCTGGTGTCACTCCTAAACGAGGTCTGTTTGGATGGTCTCTCAGCACGACACACGCTCTGAGACTACTCCGGTGCTTAGGACTGTAGTCGGGCAAACCTATGTAGCCGTAATACTGGGAAAAGCGCGCACCGCCTCAACAGGCATGCCCTTACCTGATTTTGTCAACAGTGTGGAGGCCACTTAGTGCCATGTCGTGTGCAAAATGAGTGAGAACAAGCCTCGAGAGTTGCCCTGTGTGTCAAAAGATTCAATGGAAACCACAAGAAAATCTCAGGCTAACCCAACACTAGCAGCACTCTGAAAGACATGCAACTCAAACCAGACTCACGCAAATTTAATCAGTGACGGACCAAGACAACTTTCAGCAGACTCAAGCGGAAAAATTGGCAGACTGACAAAGAGATTCAGCAAACTCACACTATTCCATAATTCAGCTAATATCCGGAAAATCAGTCGCGAACTCAATTCTCAAATTTGGCTGTTATATCACCAAGGCAGAAGAGGCCTGCATCTAATATTTCAATCGGTTATCCATCAGGATTAGTGGTCTGAAATGCGAACTCGACGCTCACTAATCAACTCTACTCATCAGTACGAATCAAATAAAAAAAAAAAAGTCCAGTAACTTTATTCGGCACCAAAAGTCGTATTGAGGGAGCTGTTTCAGTCGGATCATGACCTATCAAACTGTCAGAGCGGCCTTTGGCATTAATACAGAAAATCGGGAGGTGGTTCCTACTGGTCAGGCGTCAATGGTATTCACGACGGGACAAACTTTTAAGGATAAACTCAATGTTAGTTCTTAATCGGGAAGGAAAAGGGGAGGACTTTCGTCGGCTCTAGCAACTTAGACTGTCGCGAAAACATGAAAGGCAGTGAGGTGCTAGTTGTAAAGAGCAGTTCTGTCAGGGACAAGAAGAGGGGATGGAGGGAGGAGGCGTACCTGGATATGGTCTCCCATAGGCAGGGTCAACGTGAATATGCAGTTCAGATGATAAAGGCAGAGAAATATATTGAATATGTGATTTATTTTTAGGGGCCGGATGGCAAACTGCACAGTACTCGCTCCTCGCTGGAGAGCGTGGAACGGGTCAGGGCGAGCCTCGCATAAACTCAACTAGTACCCGGGTTACCATCTTCGAGAATCTATCAGCACCCAACAAACGAGCGTTTTCTTTCACAATCTGCAGTTCCTTTCCTGTATTATGACGTGGTAAATCACGGTTCGGAGCCTGACGTTTTGTCAATACTCAGGAAAAGCATTCTGACAGTACTCAGAACTCAGATAAAGCATCTGGCAGTACTCAGGACTCAGAACAGCACTTTGTGCAGTATTCAGAGCTTGGGGCAGTGTTCTACCCTTACTCAGTTGCTACTCAGCTATTGCTCAAATTATTGTCCTATTGCTGACCAGTCACTACTCAATCTGAATACAATCAGCGAACAACCAATCCGAACTGTAGCTGACATTCATTAGCAAGCGACAATCAATTTCGAACAGCGAAAACATTCACTAGCAAGCAGCGGTTAATTTATTCAGGTCAGCATTCAGAAAAGGTATACCAGAACAGTATTCAGAGCAACATACAGAAACAACATTCAAAGCAGCATCCTGAACGACATCTAGAACAACATTCAAAAGGAATATGTGCGGCATTCAAACGAGCATTCGGGAGCTTGTTAATCCATTAGTGGTTGACGTCTATTCAGTGAACAGCGTTCGACTCGGCCGTAGCGGACGCCCGTCGATGAAGCAGTCCTTTCTCTTTGTTCGGGAGTAACTATCTACCAAACACATAAGAGAGATCAACCCCATCATGGTTGACCAGTCTGTCCTTGACAGCCTCAATCAGATTGCTGCCAAGGAAAGTTTCCCCTACAAGTACGTCAGGATTGATGGGTTCAAGCAAGAAGATTTGTCTATCTTCATCGCTCTCACTGAATTCGTTGAAGGCACAGTCAGTGACCTACGGATCTTCCTGAAAAAAGGGAACGAGACACACCCTCATTTTGATGCAGTATGGGCAGCAACAGTTGGGTATGTGCAGTGGAAAGCGGAGAGACTCCAGGGGAATACAAAGCTAGTCTATAGCTTTGGTCCTAAGCTTTTCATTGACTATCCCAAGCCTCCGGTCCCCTACTACCTCACTGACGGCTCTTATTGGGGCGGATTGGTGGACTTGGCCAAGAGGTACACATCGCCGACAGTGATCGACTATGAGGCAGTGACTGAGTCCTCTGAGTTTCTGCATCTCAGGAGGGGCGTTTTCTCTCAGCCATATCTCTTCACACTATGGGAGGAGTTTTGTCATGCTTGACTTTCGTATTATGGGACTTGGCTGGAAGTGTTTGGAGCTAGTAGGCTTCAGGTGGCTTTACATTCAGAAGCCACAACCTCAGAAAGTACGGAGACATGGCAAGAAGCCCAAACGGCGGACAACAAAGTGAAAAGATGAGTGTAAGGTTCAGAGGGAGGAGTGAAGACTCTTGATTGGTGCTGGCCGTGCTCTCCTCAATATGTACTTCCTGAGATTATTATGAGTTCTCATTCTTCCCTCATTCATTTGACTCTGTCTTTT